AGTTTTGCAAATCTTATTCTTACATATAGACTGACTGGAGTCAGTGAAATCGCACCTGTGAGTAGGGAGTATTTGCAAGGGATGGAAGAATGAGCCTCAAGTGTCAGTGCTAGACTATCGCACCTACTTTACAATGATAAAGATGCAGCCCCCTTATTAGCCGTTTAAAACAGCAGCTTATAGTTACATTGCTGTTCGTCCGTAAAGCCTGGACTACTCAACAAACAGGAGGTGCCAAGACCCTCCAAGGAAACACAGCTGCCTCAGAAGCAGTACGCGGCAATACTTTTAACGGTGCAGGGGAACAAGACATGGCAGGCTAGCTCAGCGAGGCACAACGCTGGACCCAGATGAAATGGCAGAGCACTGAGGAATGCAGAAGCCAGCCAGATCCAGCCCAAATCTCAACAGGCAGGCTGCGAAATGCTGGCTGGGGTCAGGGTTAGGGCTAGCAGGCTGCTGCGGATGGGGGTTCCTTAAGAAATGGGAATCCCAGGGGCACTTCCCTGCATATTAGGGGATTTAAAAGATATGCCAAAACACAGAGCTCATGCCACAAAAAGCAAACACCCCTGGGCCTGGCTTTTTACTTGGGGTTTTGAATGAGAGTTTTTTGCCAGCACGGCAAGTGAGGATGCTTAAACCACTAGTATGCTCCTAGCAGGGACACTTGGGGACTGCATGTGGGAAAAGGAGCCCTTCCCCTGCTGGCATGTGCACCCCTGCTGCACTATTATTTGTATGGCAATTGTTTCTGAAAGCACCAGCTGGGAATAAAGGGCTCTCTGTGCTAGGCACTGCGCACGTGTCCGTATGGGGGGCCAACAGTCTAAACAGGGAAAGGAAGAGGAAAAAGCATAAAGGCTCTTCCCACACTTACAGTGGCTGAAGCCCAGTCCTCCCGTCTCCCAGGCCAGTGCCCTGTCCCCACTGGACCATGCTGCTGCTGAGGGAGGCAGCAGCCAGCAGGGACCCAACACCAATCCTTGGCAGAGGAGAGGACCCACATAGCACAGCGTCCTCAGCGTCTTGGCCCCTTCCAGCCTCTGGAAAAGTCAGGAGGAGCTGCTGTGGATCTAACCTTGGCATTACATAGGGAACATACTTGGTCCCACAAGTCCTCTTTCTTTGGAAGACGAGCTGCATTTTGCAGAGAGGCTGCTATCCAAAGCATCAAGACTTGCTGAGCTCAAAGGGAAGGAAAAATGCAACATCATGACACTGCATCGCACTCGTGCTAAAGCCATCCGTTTACACAAAAGCCGGGATTCCTTCCCTGGCACTGACAGCTGGGTCTGAACGCAGCTCTGTGTCCCCCGTAGCACAGAGAGAAAAGCTTGAAGCAAGTGTTACCAGGGACACAGAGCTGTGTTCAGACTCAGCTGTCAGTGCCAGGGAAGGAATCCCGGCTTTTGTGTAAACGGATGGCTTTAGCAAGAGCCTACATGTTTAATGCTAAATAAGTTTCAAAGCGAGGCCTTGAGTCATTATTACAAATAAAAGATCTGCTGATCACAAAAGCCTTTCAGGGTAAAAGCAAGAGATGGTTGATGCTCAGATCTGAAACACCCAAAACTGTTGGTTCGTTCTCACCTCAGTGGGATCGGGCTCAGCATTTTTCTTCTTCTGAGATGGAAACCTTCCAAGGAGAGGTTTTATGCAGGGATTGGGAATCTTTCAGTGTTTGCAGGAGCAAAGGTTTATCCCAGGTCTTTGGAAAACAAGCATGTTGAACCCTCTCTAAGCGGCCAGACACTCAGAGGGACTGATGCCTTGCAGTTCACGCTGAAATCAACTGGAGTTATAGGAATGTAGTACTGCCAACCTAGTGCATATTATGCCCCCAAATAACCTATAAGCCAGTATTAATATCGTAGCATTAAAATAAAGTCTTGGTTTTTCTGATTTGCTTTCTGAGGTTTGAGCCTTGGTAAGTGTAAGGACTTGGGCAAATTCCCCCCCCCTTTTTTTTTAAGATGAAAACCAAGATTCTAAAAAATCTGAGTTGCAAGTTGCAGCAAGGGAAGTGGAGGTTAGATATTTGGAAAAACTCTCTCACGAGGAAGAACGCAGTATTGCTTCTGAACCGACTAGTTGGACCCCATAATTAGAACATTTTATCTCATCACAAGCAGCAAAACATGCCAGAAGCAGCATGCTGTCATGTATTGTGATGTCTTGGAACAAAAGTCTACTTCCCTGCATGAAGCAAAGAAGAGTTTCAAAGAGGTCCCTCTCCTGGAAAGAAACCCAGAACAAAAGAAAACCAACTTTGCCAAAACACCCACCCAGTTTTCTATTGTTAAATGTTTCCCTTGGAAAAAAATGAATATTGGGAGTTTTCCCTTCCAAAGAATGTTTTAATCTAAGCCTAAAAAAAAAAAAAAAATCCACCCTTTCCTTTTAAAAAAGTTTATTAGCATCAAACCAACAGTATGAAAAACAGGATCAGAGCAGCATTGTTGTAACTAAACTAAATCACAAAGCATCAAAAGAACATTGTGTTACGTTGTATAAAAAGCCAACACGCGTTCTGCAGCCGTTAAGGCAACTGGTCATTACTGCATTTCATTTGGAAATGAGTTCACAGAATCAGAGAAAACAAGGGTTGGGAGGGACCCCAGGAGGTCACATCTAGTCCAACCCCCTGCTCCAAGTAGGACCAGTCCCAACTAGCTCATCCCAGCCAGGGCTTTGTCTAGAAAGCCAGTGGAGGTTCCTCTCTGGGTAGCCGTTCCAGTGCTTTACTACCCTCCTCATGAGAATTTTTTCCCTACTGTCTAACCTAAACTTCCCTTGCTGTAACCCAAGACCATTGCTCCTTGTTCTGTCACCTGCCACTGCTGAGAATAGTCTAACTCCATCCTCACCGGTGCCAAACAGGGGAATAATCAGTTCCCTCCATCTGCTGTCAACCCTCCTACCGATGCAGCCCAGGATGCCGGTAGCCTTCTTTGCAGCAAGGGCGTACTGCTGGTTCATATTCAGTGTATTGTCCACTGTCACCCCTAGGTCCTTTTCTGCAGAGCTGCTGCTTAGCCACCTGGTCCCCAGCCTGCACCGGTGCAGGGGATTGCTCCCTCCTAAGTGCAGGACTTTGCACTTGTCCTTATTGAACCTCATGAGATTTCTTTTGGTCCAATCCTCCGATTTGTCTAGGTCACTCTGAATCCTAGCCCTACCCTCCAGTGTATCTGCTACTCCCCCTGTCTTGGTGCCATCTGCAGACTTGCTGAGGGTGTGCTGCATCCCATCTTCCAGGTCGTTGATGAAGACATTGAACGAAGCCAGCTCCAGGACTGACCCCGGGACACTCCACTTGACATCAGCTACCAATCAGACATTGAGCCATTGATTTTCACCCTCTGAGCCTGACGCTCTAGCCAGTTTTCTTTCTATCTTACAGCCCATTCATCCAACCCATACTTCCTTAGCTTGCATGCAAGAAAGTTGTGGGAGACCGCATCAAAAGCCTTGCTGAAGTCAAGTTATATCACATCCACTGCTTTCTCCGCATCTACAGAGCCAGCCATCTCATCATAGAAGGTGATCAGGTTGGTCAGGCATGACTTGGCTCTGGTGAATCCATGATGACCCTCCCAATCACTTCTCCTCCCAGTGCTTAGAAATGGATTCCTTGAGGACCTGCTCCATGACTTTTCCCAGCACTAAGGTGAGGCTGACTAGTTTGTAGTCTCCTGGATCTTCCTTTTTCCCTTTGTTTAAAGATGGCCACTATGTTTGCCCTTTTCCAGTTGTCTGAGACCTTTCCCAATCACCACAAGTTTTCAAAGATGATGGCCTGTGGCTCTGCAATCACATCAGCCAACTCCCTCAACACCCTTGGGTGCATCCTGTCCAGCCCCATGTCCAGCTTTTCTAAGTAGTCCCCAACCTGTTCTTGCCCCACTGTTGGCTGCTCCCCTCCTCCCCATACTGTGCTGCCCAGACTGAGATGAAAAAGGCACTGAGCACTTCAGCCTTTTCTGCATCCTGTCACTAGGTTGCCTCCCCCATTCAGGCAGGGACCCACACTTCCCTGACCTTCCCCTGTTGCTAACGTACTTGTAGAAACCCTTCTTGTTCCCCTTCACATCCCTTGCTAGCTGCAACTCCAATTGCACTTTGGCTTTCCTGACTTCATCCCTGCATGCCCCAGCAATGCTCTTATACTCCTTAGTCATTCATTCAAGTATCCACTTTTTCTAAGCTCCCTTTTTTTTGTGTTTTAGCTCACTGAAGAATTCCCCACTAAGATAAGCTGGTCTGCCATATTTTCTAGTCTTCCTGAATGCTGTGATAGTTCGTTTCTGTGCACGCAGTAAGGTTTCTTTAAAATACAACCAATTCTCCTGGACTCGTCTCCCCCTCAGCATGGCCTCCCAGGGGATCCTGCTCATCAGTTCCCTGAGGGAGTCAAAGTCTGCTTTTCTCAAGTCCAGGGTCCAATCCCTGGACTTCAGTTACCTCTCGAGTTACATGTCTCAAGACAATGAATTCCACCAGTGGTGATGAAACCCAAATTTATGGCAATTAGCAAAAAAGTCAGAAGACCAAAATTATTTCTCAACCTATTAGGCAGAGTTTATGTAACTGTAGGAATCTCCCCAAGAGGATAAAGGTCAAACTAATGTTGAACAGCAATTTGCTTCTCCCACTGCGCTGAATTCATCCACTGGTCATTTATGATTATAAATTAAGAAAGAGGTAGAAAATGACAGGAAAAAGCAAACATTTATTTTGCTCTTCAGCAAGAACCCAACAAAGCAAAATGAGTATGTTTAAAACTAGAGGTTCAAGCAGGTAGCTCGTATGCTGCACATACATGTACAGTACACTGGTTGTCTGTTTGAATTTCTAAGCAATTTCAAAATTGCTTAGAAATGGCCTGATCCTGTTAAGTGCCATGTGCTGTTTGAGAGCAGGTGCAGAGAACCTGCCACTCTTATTGAAATCAGTGGAAGTTGTACATGCTCAAGACCTTAAAAAAAATAAACAATGCAATCAATACTTTACAGCTTCCTGGGAGCAGTGTTTGCAGATCTCTCCCAGCTGGCAAGATTAATCTATGCTCAAGGCAAATGGATGGGATGCAGACTTCACTTACTCAACACTGAAGAAATGCAGGAGGAGAGTCCACGGGGGTGTAATCTCAGCTTGCTAAGGTGATTCTTAGGCTGCGTTAACATAAATCACAGGCCAGAGGCAAGAAGCTGAAACCCCTGGTGCAGACCAGTGCTAGAAAGTTTGAGTTTAGCATCAACAAAATGTATTGATTTATTTGCTGCCTGCAGAACAAAGTGCCAAAGGTCCTGTTGGCTTAGGTGTGTTGTAGTCTGGCACTGCTGCAAAAAAGGTAAGCTTTACGTAGTATCGGATGCCTAGAGAATATTTGGTTAGGTTTGCTATTTGCCAGCCTCTTTGGATTAAAGGATTTAACTGCCCATGTTCACACGCTCCTGTGCTTTTCTCCTAATAGCACAGAATATGGGTGAAGACCAGAGCAATGAGGAAGACTGCAGAGAAATTGCCAACATGACTGACAAAGCTCATAGGGTTAGAAGTGATTGTTTGTTGCCACGTTTCCTTTTCATTGTAATATAAATCCTACCTTTTGAATCCATTGAGAGATTCTGCAAGCCCATGTCACAAGAACCACTTGAAAGAGATTCATCCCATACGACAAGGGAGATTAAGACAGAGGATTTATTAGTCACATAGACATGGAAGGAGCTGGGGAAGGAGGGAAAAAAGGAGATAGCGATTTTGTTAAAGGAGAAAGCATCCAACTGTGCTGTGGAACAAGCTTTGTTCTTTGCCTTCAAGAGTGGGAGGGTGATGCATCTCCAGAGTGATTTTGGTACCATGGCTCTTCCATCAGCAGGATCAAAAGTGACTGGAAAGAATCCAAGGCAAAAAACAGGACCAACAAAATAGGAAATAAAGCAAAATAAATAGGAAATGTAGAGGAATGGTCAACATACCATCACCCCCAAAACAAGCAGCACCAATTACCCTCGTGCAGAAAACTGAACAGCCCACAGATCAGGCTGGCACTCAGCAAGTGTCATCCTATAGTACATGCCAGGGTGCCGGCAGAACTTGCTAAGTGGTTTGAGAGAGGATGGACAGCAATGCACTGAAAGCATATTACATGCCAGGACCAGGATTATACTCAGCCCTCCTCCAGAAAAAAAATGGGCTGATCCAAGGAAGGGGAAAGGGGGCAAAGTAGTAGAAAATCAAAAGAGGGGTAATGGCAGGTGTGGAAAGTCATAGGCCATGCAACACATTTCAAGAACAGCAGCAACAAGTACACGCTCAAGCTTCCTCCTTTTGTCAAACAAGGCCTTGACTGCCTACCCCTTAGCGTGGTAGTTGCTACATGGTTCACTACATGGACGAGCTTTCTTCCAAGATAGGGCAGGAAGCTGTGATTGTGGCTACTGCTCCTTCTGTCTAGTGAGTTAAGCGGGCAAAATGGATTATCCAAACTGTGATCAAAGTGAATTCCTTTTTAAAGAGAAACAGCTTTCTGTCACAAATAGCGAGAGGTTTCTTCACTGAGAAGGCAGCGATAAGTGCTAAGCGTTGTCATTTGGATGCCATAAAATTAGTTCCCACAGATGCAAATGGTCTATTATAAAGATTGACATTCTGGAACAGAAGTAATTTGAATTAGCCTAGGTTTTCATATGGCCATTAATCTTTAAAAATCAGTCCTTCTACAGGCACGGGAATACAAGGATCAAATGCAAATTACCAATATAAAACACAAATACTTTCAAGTAGTCATTTCTTCACAGTACTATAAATGGGAAAAAATTCAATTAAGCAGTGAGGAAGAAGGAAGCAGCAATATCATCAGAATAATGAAGCCAGAATGATCTAGTCAGGAATGTCAGAACTAGGAGTGCACCGATACATCGGTCCCTATCGGATTGGCACCGATAAAAGGAAAATTGACATTATTGGCAATCAGTATTTTTGGCCGATGCAGCTGATAATATCACTGATAAATGCTGCATGCATGTGTGCAGCCACACTCATGCACATGGCCGGGAATGCAGCCGGGCAGCTTGGAGAGCAGCATCTGGCTGGTAAGTCTGTGGGGAGAAGGGGTATGGGGGGGGGGGGGGGGAGAGGGGGCCCCCCCTTG